GGGGGGGGCACAGCACACCCGAGGCAGCCTCGGAGCCCAGGGCAAGGGACAGGCTCAGAGGGGACACAGCCGAGTCCCAGCTGGCTTGTGACATCTCAAAGGCTGGCAGCAGTGCACCTGCAAAACAACACAACACTCGTTAATCCGGGCCAGCAAACATCCCTTCCTGTACTACAGGGCACACACAGGAAGAGAAGAGCTCAAATAATGGGAAATATTCAAGGTGCTGTTCTTAGGATGAGACTTGAACTGAGATTTCCATGAGAATGAGATCCTGAAAGAAATCTCAGGAGTATTCCAGATAAGTTCTGTATTTTCTCTGATATTTATCACAGAGTTATAGAATATTTTGAGTTGGGTGGGTTCATCCATCCAAGGCCCACCCTGTGCATCCCTGGGAGCTCCTGGAGCTCTGGCAGAGCTGAGTTTTACAAAGCCACACTAATCTGGATGATGATGATGATGGGTGGATGGATTTAGGAACAGCTCTGCTCACTTATAAAAACACTGACAACTTTTTGCCTCACTGAACACACCAAGAAATCCCAGAATGCAGAAGAAACCAGGAATTATTCCTCTCCCAAGAAGGAAAGGTCCAGTCCCATTCCTACAATCCCAAGATACAAACATTTCCTCCTGAAGGACTCTTGGAAAAAGAGAAATAAATGAAATACAGACACTGTGTCCCTGCACTGCCCCACAGGCACCCTCCTGATTCCTTAGGAGCTTTCCAAAGGTTTGAATAAATCCCAAAGCCAAAACCTCCTGCTGGGGATGGGAGAAGGTCAAGGAAGGATCCCAGGAACATCCCAGCCCCAGAGATGAGCCCCTGCCCTACCCTGTGCCTGTGGGGGCACCCTGGCCAGCGTGCCCAGGGGATCCTGCAGCCTCCTGAGCTGCCAGGGGGAGAACTCCAGCTCCTGGAGGGGCCTCTGGGGCAAAAACGGTGCCAGGATGGTGCCAGGGGACTGCTCGATGCCCAGGTTCCGCAGGTAGATCTGGGGAAACAAGGAACAGCAACACTCAGGGAGGGCAGGGATGGCACAGGGATGGCACAGGGATAGATCCTGGGATGGCACAGGCACAGGGATGGACCCTGGGCTGGCACAGCTCCAGGGATGGACCACAATGGAAAACGCTGGAAAACCAATGGGAAAACTCTGGAAAACAAAGGGGAAACTCTGGAAAACAAAGGGGAAACTCTGGAAAACAAAGGGGAAACTCTGGAAAACAAAGGGGAAACTCCGGAAAACAAAGGGGAAACTCCGGAAAACAAAGGGGAAACGCTGGGAGCAGAGTTGAAATGAGAGCCAAACTCACCGGGATCCTCTCCTCAATATCCATCTCCTCTTTCTGGGGAGTGTCCAGAGGGGCTCCAGGGGGGACAGGGCAGGGCCCAGGGGACCCCCAGGGACCCCCAGGCTCGTCCCAGGTGCCCGAGGAAGCGGCTCCAGCTTTGTCCAGCCTGTGGTGCCCAGCGGCAATATCGGGGCTGACACATCGATTTTCCTTTTGCCCACGATCCTCGGCTGGGGAGCTCCCGTTGTTTTGGGGGAGCTGAGCAGCGCTGGGTGCAAACACATCTGGGGCTGAGCTTCTCCTCGGCCGCCCCACATCTGCAGCACGAGATGCAGGATGAAGGCAGAGCGTCCTGGAGGGGGCTGAGGTGCTGCCAGAGCCCCCCGGAGCAGGATTCTCCTCCTCCCCTGGGAGCTTTGGTGCCCGGAGGGCTCTGCTGCCTTTCTCGGTCACGGCATTGTCAGACTGGCACCTGCGGAGGGCAGGAACGCTCCTGCCAGGGCAATGCCAACTCCCCGGAGAGCCCCCGAGAGCAGGGCACTCCTCGGGGCCGCCCGCGTTTTTGTGTGCCGGTATAAAAACACGGCTGGAAGGGTCGGGAGGTGCACTGGGGGTTCTCCTTGCAGGAGGAATTGCAGCTGGCACGGCCGAGCTGGTGGCATCGGGACATTGCCCCGGCTGGGGCACAGTCCCGGCTCCCACATTCTCCAGGAAACTCAGGCATGGGAAGGGCTGGATCCTGCCAGGGCAGGGGGATCCCAGCTTCAGGGACTCCAAACGTGCACGAGTTTCTTTCACAGCACTCTCGGGAGGATGCTCCTTCCCAAGGGATCCGGGAGATTTCCCCGAGGCTTCATCCGAGCAGGGAGGAGAATCCAAAGGGCCCAGCAGGGCTCCGGGTCCTCCTGCCTTGCCGGGTTTCTTGAGGAACACGCCAGGAGTGGACTGAAAGTTGGGCTGAGGCAGGAGCACAGAGAAGGAGCCCTCGGCTCCCAGGCTGAGGGAAGGGGAGATCTCGGTGCCTTTGTGTCCCCTCTCGATGGAGAAGTCGGATGCTGTCAGCTCATCCCTGCTGATGTGCCCGGGGCTGGGGGCAGTGGCCTGGGGTGGGCTGGGTGCCCCAGCAGCCTCTGTGCCCTGCCCTGTGCCCGGCCTCCCTGCAGCCTGCAGCTCCTCAGGGGCAGCCCCAAATCCCTGAGAGCCCCTGAACCCCGGCCCACGTTCCTCACCCCCTCCCCCTGCACAAACATCCTCAGCAGCCGAGCTTCCAGAACGACCCGTCCTCAAATGGCCCAAAAAATGCTGTGACAAAGCAAGCTCGGGCACCTTCGTCCCTTCCTGCTGCTCCTGCGGGGCTCCTGCTCCACTCCCAAGCACTTCCACCTTCTCCTGCTGCTTCCCCCCCTCACTTCTCCCGGAGAATTTGGTCAGGGCAGTTTTAAAGGAGTTTCCTGAGGATGAGGATGAGGATGAGGATTCCCCCTGCCCTGGGGACTCGCTGTCCTTGTCTGAGAGCTCGGAGGCAGCAGTGCCCTGGGAGGAGTGACCAGAGCAGTGTCCATCCTTCCCAGCTGTGCTCCAGCTGTGCCCCTGGCCCAGCACCTCTGCAGCTGCGTGTGCTGGATCCCCCCTGGTGCCCAGCAGCTCCCCAGCACGCCCGGCCTGGGGATACTGGGATGAACTGGGAAGGGCTGGGCCCTGCAGGGAAAGCTCAGAACGCTCCAGGGATGCTCCAGAAACGTCCGGGATTCCTCTGCAAGGGACAAGAAAAGGGAATTTCTGATCATTTCTTTCATTTCAGCATCTCTGGTTTACATCAGAGGCAAAAGAACATCGGGGGACAACAAAGGGTTAGCAATGTTCACACAAATGTACACAAATCCCTCTAAATGCATCCTCTAAAGGGGAAAACACCTGAAGGAACGCAAGGAAATAACAAAAAAATCTCCTATAAAATGAAGGCTCAAAATAATACAAAATAGAATAATATAGAATGTAAAATATGATAATAAAGAACATAAATATAAAATATAAAAATACATCATATAAAACAAATATAGAATGTAGAAATTATAATAATGATGATATTATAATTATTAATATAATAATATCAATTTCTACTTAGCATAGCAATATTTTTTCTATTTTAGGACCAAAACATTTTTTTACTGACAGGCTGTTATCAGTTACATAAATAAATAATATTAGCTAATTAAAATATGCAATATGTACTTACACAAGTCTCAGCTTGCCTGTGACTTTTTTTCAACATAAATCACCCACTTCAGTTCATTGTATCAATTATTTTTTAAAGAATATAAAAGCAGCCAACAAATTCCTATAAAGTTCTAATACTCATATTGAGGATTGCTTAATTAACAGTTCCTTTATATTAAACCCTAATATATCAAATATTGTTCCATTCAAGCAGAGCACCTCGAAATGAAGGTGCCAAGGCCTTTTACTCAGTTTTTTCTTTCTGCATTTGAACCCCAGCTTTGTATTGTACATCACACACATTGCTCCAGCATGTACAAACCACTGTGGTTTATATATTTCTATTTTGTTTGTGTATTTAATTGATATCCATGTATGTTTTACTCCTGTAAATACAGAAACCTTCTCCATCACCCATTTTCCATTATCCATTTTCCATCACCCATTCCCCAGGGAAAAGGAAAAGCCCCAGGAATCCCCATCCCACCTCAAGGGGAGGAATTCCAGCTGGGATCTCTGCAGGAACGACTCGGCAGGGGCTGGGCTCAGCAGCAGGGGCAGGCAGGGGGAGAATCTGCTCTCCTGGATATCTGGGAGAGAGAAAAACACCCACAGGGCAGTGAGAGCTGGCAGCAAAATCCCAAAGA